GCCTTAAATTAGGAAAAGCAAATTTAAGACTTTTTAAGGACCCGCGGATACCTTGTGTCTTGCTGCTCATAGCAACAAGTAAACATCAAGTAAAACTTTGCCTAATCATTCGTGATTCCTGCATGCTGCTGTCTACGTAACCCTGATTGAGTCCATTCGTATCCCTCTTGGCGTTTGTATGCTCCTAGCGATGATCCGGAGTAGGACGAGGGTATGTCAGAGTATCTCAAATCCGAAAAAAGGGCTGCTCCGACAAAAGTATCCCAGGGGCATGGTAAGGGTCGGAGATGTTTACTCTATTTAATTTTTGAGCACATAAAACTTTATCTTTTATTTAAAAATGTGAAGTAAACTACAGAAGGAGTAAAATCCAAGCTGGTCCTGTTCCCTTCGTGTACACTGATGCATGCCAGCATGGCGCCTACGCTCTGAGAGTCATGTGATGTCCGGAGCTCTATAGCTGTGCTTCAAGACATAAACGATGAACACGCACTAGAGGGCACAGGCCTGTTGATGTAGCAGGACAGACTGCTGTTTGTCTTCCTTTTAGAAGAAGATGTACAGTCTACATGTCTGTTGTGTTGGAATGGAACCAGTGCAGTGACCATTACAACCATTACCTGTCATCGTTTTAGTACATCCTAAACATTATTCCTGTATCAGTCTGTTTTATAGTCATGGCTGCTAATAAACTGAGTTTCCACCCTGACCAATGTTTCCACGGAGGACAACCCCATGGGTCTGTCCTAGTGTAGAACCCAGAGGTATGTGTAAGGAGAACACACTAAGTGCTAAAGAGCAGGCTGGACCCGATCAGAACCTTCACTCAGACCAGAGAGGCCTTAACAAGCCCGATCATTCTATCATCTCCATCTGATCAGGAGCTGTGAGCGAACCTGAGTTAGAACATCTCTGTCCAGCTGCAGAAATACTACCTGCTCCAACATCTGGATGGTTCCAGCCTGCTCGTCCAGCTCCTCCTCCTGATCTTTGACCTTGGCCTCCAGATCACGAAGCTGCTTCTTCATCTAAAGTAACACACACACATACACACACACAGGTTAGGAGTGGAAACATGGGAAAGAACTTTAATGATTCAATACGCGCACGTGTGTGCAGAATAGGGTTGTCACGGTAACCGATGTAGCGGTAAACCCCGGTAAAAAGAGTTGACAATAATAATAACCGTCTTGTTTTAAAAAATAAATAAATTATCTCGGTGGGTTACCGTGGCTGCGGTGTAGGCGCGGTGACCCTTACCAGCCACCGTATCATCTGCTGAAGTTGCCGGCGGCACATGCGCACTTTGTTGTTTACAACCGAAACTTTCTTGAAGCTAAAGCTGAAATAATGGCCAAAGGAGGAGACGGCAGCACTCAGGACATTTATTATCCCTCAAAGAAGACAAAGTGGGAAGTACGGGCATGTTTTGGATATGTGAAGAATGCCGAGGGTCAGCTGATAGAAGACGGCTATCCTGTTTGCAGCACGAGCAGAAAAAGTGTCTGTGAAAGGCAGCAACGCTTCAAATCTCATGACACATCTGCGTGACCATCACCCACAACTCTACAGTCAACGCAAGGCAAGCTAACGTTAGCGCTTTAGCTAAAATGCGTGATCCGAGGATTTGGGTTGAGGGAGAATGCAACGAGTCGCTATATAAAGCAGCCGCAGCGCCGCTACCTGCATATAAACCGTGTCGCGGACACCGCCATGTTGAAATGACGCTACGCATTACGGGGCTCCCAGGGGCAGATAAGAGTTGGTCTCTCCCCGAGAATAATTATGAATTTAACAACGATTACTGCCTGATGACATTTTCCCACATCTGCAACGCTCACTGGAAGGACACAAACCGAGGACAATACTTTCCTGATATAGGGTTTATTACTCAAGTAAGGGTAAAAAAGTATCTGATTAGAAGGCTACTTGAGTACTGAGTATCATCTGATCTAATATTTTTAAAATGATGACATCAAACAGACATAAAATAAGAAGTTATGGGCAAATATTGGTATTTTAAAGACTAAAGGGGAAAACTGTAAACAAATAAACATAATTACAAAATAACACATTTTAGGCTAAATTTAGACACAAACTGAGGACAATATTTTCCTGATATACAGGGCTTATTTAATTGTGTGAAAATGTAACATGTTTAAAAAAATACCGCGATAATACCGAAAACCGTGGTAACTTTGGTCACAATAACCGTGAGATTACATTTTTACACCGTGACAACCCCAGTGCAGACCTTTGCCTGTGATGCCTCATCCTTGGATTCCTGAGAGTTAACATCTTGCAGCTCCACCTCCAGTTGTTCCAGCTTCATGTTGATGGCACACAAATCAACGTCTTTCTCCTGGAAGACAGACGTTTGGAGTCAGAACACAGAACGCAGCAGCGGGAAGTGACGGCAGGAATATGGGATGAACACCTGTTAAGACTAGGATTAAAACTATTTGACCTGGTTTATGGCTAAATTCTGAGTGATGTCAGCCCAGGTGTGGATGGGTGGAGTGTACAGTCGGTAAAGACGGCTCTCCCTTGCCCTGCCTCCAACATGCCTACATCTAAAAGGATAGATTATCCAGAGTTTTCTCTGTAGTTATGCTGCTATAGGCTTAGACTGCTGGAGGACACACTGACCACTTTCCACACTCTACTGCTTTCTTCTACAATCTGCTCTTTAACTGTATTATTTCCTGCTAATTCAGCTGTTAACTTTATGTTCTTTCACCCTAAAACCAGCGCTGATCATAAAACAGGCTGTGCATAAACATCAATGCTCTTGTACATCTGTGCATACAGGTCCTTGATCTACAAGTCTGAGCTTTCTTTGGCCCTGTGGAACCTGCTGGGCCTTCATGTAGGACTCAGATAAAGGATGGTGTTTCCTTGATCCACAACTATGAATGAAACAATTATGAGATGTAGTTTTTGTCACTAAAGTATCTAATAAACGGGACAGGAAAAATCTGCTTTTGTAGCCTGGAACCTCCAAAGGCCCGGTGATGCACACCTCCAGCTGCTGGCGAAGGCTGAAGACCTCAGCACTCAGTACGTCTTTCTCTCGAGCCAGTTTCTCCCTCAGGTTCCTCTCCCTCAGCACTTCCTCCTGAGCTGTACTCTGCTCGCTGTCAAACCTGCACAGGAACATCATTACACACAAATGCAGCACAACAGTACACCCAGAAGGAACGTTTCACACACGTAAACTATGATCATCTCAAAAACCGCTCATCAGTGTTTTTGAGTCCCGACTGGGAGGCGGAGCTGACAGGCTCCGCCTCTGCTGACACCCTCTCTGCTTGGAGATCTTAGTTTAGTCACAGCTGAATGAACAAATGTGGACATTTGGGATGCAACTGAATAGGATTCTCTTAAGACCTTGAATAAATGAAAAATCTGGTGGTTTTTAGAAATAAAATTAAAAGCAACATTTTATGTGCTAATATTGACTTTACATATTATTTTGTGTTACTATCTGTCATGACTTTTATATTTGTTCACAACCTTTTATGTTGCTTCCTTTAACCTGTCCCCTGTTGAAGGCTGTCTGTATGGTGCACCATGTTAATGTGAGTTTGAAACCACTGAATGAGTAGCACTGTCAGATGGATTCAGCATGTAAACACCACACGCACGCACGCACGCACGCACACACACACACACACACAATGTGATGTCGTGAGCAAATTTTTTACATTCATTCATCTAATTTTCACTGTAGCTCTAAGTCATTTAGTATGTATGATCAGAAAAACATGGTGTGTGTGTGTGTGTGTGTGTGTGTGTGTGTGTGTGTGTGTGTGTGTACTGACTTCCTCTGCTTCTTCTCCAAGTCGTGGTTACGGCTCTGTTGACCCTCTAGATGAAGTTTGGTGTCCTGTAATTCAGACGTCAGCTTCTGGGTTTTCTTCTTCAACTGCTGAACGGTTCTCTGAGACTCCTCGTTATCTGCTTGTAGGTCACTGATCTGTGAGACACACACACACACACACACACACACACACACACACACACACACACACACACACACACACACACACACACACACACACACACACACACACACACACACACACACACACACACACACTCAAGAATCATTGCCTCTGCTGCAGTGAGCTTAACCTTCTCTGTAATACAACGATGGGGTTTCAGTCACTAGTTGACGTTTACCAGGACGCGACCCAACAGAATGAGGTAAAACACTCAGAGAGAGCGTTCTTTGATTCAGATTGTTAGGATAGAGAGATACACACTAGGGCATTTGCAGAACTTGCAAAGAAAAAGATGCTACTGGGTACAACAAATACCAGAAGGGATTTCACCAGGAGACAGATGGAAGGAAAGCTGATGCTGCCAGCACTGCTGGAGATGCAGCGTTTGTGTTTGCTGATGAAAATAGAAGATAACACACAAAACCAGGCCAGCCCCCTGCAGGGAAAAACAGGATCATCTGGAAACTGCATGGATGGTTCATTTCTGGAATACAGGAATCATTCACAGTGCATCACTTTTTACACAACGTCAATCCAAAATGGAATAAATTAGTCCACAGTTTCATCAGTACCTACTCAGAGCGACTCAAGCCACTTGGGCTTGGCTGGACCGTATTTCCATGAGTACCGGGTACCAGGTTGTCGCACCTTTTCCCCTATGTGCTTTGATGTGGTTTCAATGCCGTTTCAACTATCGGAGGTCTACGGTAAATTTACGGTCTTTTGCGGCATGCGCACGTCTCCACATCAGTGGACCGGCTGATCAGCCCATTCTCCAGAGCGCTGAACGAAAACACAACAGCTGAGAGGAGCAAGCCCTCAAAGCTCCCAGTCAATCTCCCCCCCAGAAACCCGCCCATCTACGTCCAGACAATGGATCCCCAGAAGAACAAAGAAATGGATGCTAGTACACGGGGCAGAAAAGGTTATTTTAGGTTTTGTGTGAGAACACATGCAGGACTAACAAAGTAGAGGAAAAATGGCTGTCGGTTCAGTGAGCTTCAAATTCTTCTTTCCACCATCAGTCTGGCCATGTGGTACGTAGCAGCTACACTCGGGCAGGGGGGGTTCTGTGGTGGTCCCGATCAGATCCAGGAACCACAATCAGCACTGAAGCCTCTTGATGGCATTAACTGAAAGACCATCAAAGTCTGAGGAGTCACAACAAGGCTGCATGCTTTCTGCTCCACGGGTACCACACTTTACCACGATGGGTTTAAAACCAGCCACAGTCACAGCGATATGGTGTAAAACTACACTGAAATGTAAGCATGCACTGCCCCTATCGCCAGGAAACAACACACCACCACTTTCAGAGAAAAGCCATGATATGTCTCATATCAGCGTATTCACACGTGGAGGTTACATCTATTGTAGTTTTTATGGACGGTATTCAAAAACAATGCTGTAGCTATTTTAAATCCCAGAATTTTTCATGACTATAAAGTCACACAACCCTCGGCGAACCATTAAACTAAACCCTTCTTCACCTGTCGCTCAGATCTGAATCAGTCTGTTAGATGAACGGATTCCCTGCAGAGCTCTCTTTAAGCTTAAAGGCTGAAAATATCAAAACAATGAAATAAAATGGATGAAAACCAGCAGCATTTGAATCGGAATGACAGTCCATCATTCCCACTGAATGCGTTAGCCGAGACGCCAGACACAGCTCCAGGCCACATCTGCACCCAGGAAGTCACCAGCACCTTTTAGTAGCCAGTTCTGACAGATCCTTATTTGGATCTCCTTTCTCAGTAATGCCAGCCCTGACCCAAGACGACGTGTATCAGGACACCTCTGAGAGTGGTTGATATGAAGTCGTCTCGGCTCTGGCACGGGGCCGTGCATTCATCTCCACTCAAAGTTCCCCCTGTGCCCTCGTTGGCTGAAGGACTTTGTGTGCACCACAGAGTGACATCTTAGGGAGGTGTGATGCTGCGCCCACTCACCCTCCTCTCCAGCTGTCGTTTGTTCTGCTGTTCAACCTCCAGCTTGTCATCGAACTCCTGCTGCAGCCTCTTCTTGGTGAACTCGATCTCTCTGATGGCTCGTTCGTATTTCAGCCTCCACTCTCCTCCTGTAGCAGCAGCAGTGACAGGTCCCTCCGTAAACGTACAACAGCTACACATGACCTCAGATATAACACGGGGTTAAGGCTGAAGGGTGCAGGTTAGGTTCTATTTCGTCTAGTCTTAGCCCTTAAGCGAGCTGCTATTGGAAGGGTGATCTCAGCATCAGCCAATCATGAAGAGCTTAAATGTACGCCCACCACGTGGGCACCCCTTGTGGGTTATATAAGTGGAGCGACTCCGTTTTCTCTTCACGCCAAGCTTAGGAGCTTCCTTTAAGAGCAATTATACAAGAAAAATCTACTCACCGACCATGTCCAGCGACGCCAGGACCTGCCCGGCCTGCCAGACGGGCTCCATCTCCAGCGGCGACCTGCACGCCAAGTGTGAGGTCTGTCTCGGGGCTCACCACGCTAGCCTGGCCTTGACCCCCAGGCCTCGTGCCCGTTTTGTACCGCTCTGCCCGTGGCTGAAAAGGTCCGCCGGGTCGAGTACTTCACCCCCTCCACCGACGAGGAAATTCCGGTGGCTGGCACGTACTCGCTGGACAAGGCGTTACGGTTCTTCAACGTCGGCCAGGAGCCGGCTGGCTCCTACCGATTGGACGGTGTCATCGACAGCGAGGAGTACGACGAAGCTGGCTTCCATAGCCCTTCCCTCCTGTACAACACGGAGGTCGACCACGAGGCTGGCTGCCATAGCCCTTTTTCCCTCCTGTGCAACACGGAGGTCGAGAAGCCTCGTGAGGAGCACGACGAGGCTGGCTGCCATAGCCCTTTTTCCCTCCTGTACAACATGGAGGTCGACGAGCCTCGCTCAGCGGGTCCTTCTGCCCCAGTGGTTTCTCGCTCCTCCCTGCCAGCAGTTAGAGCACTGCTCCAGGAGCTGCCCGCCATCATCTCCGCGGCTGCGACCCGCAGGTGGCTAGCCGTTCCAGAACCGGCTCCCCTGAGGCAGATGAATTGGCGGGAATTTTTGGGGCAACACAGACGCGCTGTCCAGACCCCGTCTGGCCGCACTTCCCCGCTGCCATGAGCTGCTGGTCCGCCGCTTCCGAGCCTGCCAGGCTCGAGGCGCCAATTTCCACATATGCGCCCATTACCAAGGTCGAGGGCTTCTCCGACCAGGGCTGGCCATCCGTTCCTCCACTGGAGCCGGACTTGGCCTCGCTGTGTGGCGTCAAGAACCACCTCACTGGACCGCGAGCAGTTCCCACTAAGCACGACCAGCTGCTGAGGCGGCTCGCCGATCGCGCACACCAGTGCGCCTTCCAGACCGGCGCTGCAGGAAATAACATCGCCTTCTCGCCTTTGGCGTTTCCAAAATGGTGGAGGAGCTTGACTCTCCTTTCGAGTCAAAAACCATCATTACTAAAACTGCTGATGCCATCCTCAATCTGTGCGCTGCTGTACTCACCGGTTCTGCTCGCATTGCTGCCTGGCAGACCCTTATCCAGCGGCCTTGTGGCTCATGGCCCTGCCCTCCATTCCTGAACACCTGCACAGAGAGATGCTGGAAGGCCACATCACCTCTGACGTTCTGTTTGGTCCCCATCTTACGAGCATCATCTAGAGGGCTCAGCGGCTGAACTTTCAGCCACGGTGCGAGACCTGGTCCACTCTCGGTCAGCCTCGCACTCCGGCCGTTCCCCCAGAGGATGGGACGAACGGCGCGGAAACTCCATGCGCCCAGCTGCACGGCCTGCCCCGCGGAGCCGGCCTCCCGCTGAGGCGGGACCAGGGAGTTGGCGGCCAACGGTTCCGAACGAGCCAGCAGACACAGCTTGGCAGTCACAGGAACCTCGCCGAAAACAACCACGAAAACGACTCGTTGGGGGGAATGTGTGTGCTTATGGCTGCAATGTGAACTCTGTGAATTATTTTGGTTTTGAAATAAAACCCAAAAAACGTCACATCGAGAGCAGAATCCTACAGTCCTCTGCAGAACCTTCTGCCGAATCCTCACACATGATGTTCCCCGCACCAAGCACTGCAGCACATCTGCATGTTCACACAGTCGGACTCGGTCATGTTACACGGTTAGCTGTAAAAGGGTGCGCTCCATTTGCGCACCGCCTACGGCCAGGCCCGACTCATTCCGCTTCCCCCCACAACGTTGGGTGGGACGGGATGTCATGGCACTGTCGCGACCACGCGCAAAGCGCGCACATTGCGCGGCTCCATCCGCTGGCACTTTGACGTTCCCGTGCACGGGCCCGGCTCCCACTCGTCCTTCATGGACTCCACGCTCTGCGGTGCGGATCAGCCTCTTCCAGCTGTTTCACACTCGCTCTTTCGAGCACAGCCCTCCATGGGTCGCTCCCAGTTCTCCGGTACGAGCGACGGCTGTAAGGGCGCGAAACCAATCCTCAGACGTTGCTCACGTGACCTCGAGCACACGTCCGCTGTCGGAACGCGCGCACGAATGCCTCCCTTTCGGCTACTCGCTAGCCCAGCGCACTTTCTCCAAATGTCTGGAGACCGCGCTGCAGCCACTGCATGGCGGAAACGAGGGTTTTATTTTACCGGGACGATCTGCTCCGATGCGCCCGGTCCGAGGACGGGGCGTCAGTGCAAACCAGGAGGTTAACAGAGCATCTGTCAACCCTGAGGTTTTCTATAAGCTGGGGGAAGAACTTCGTTCTTCCATCCCAGTCGATTATGTTTCTCGGGGTGGAGCTGAACGCCTCTCTAATGAGAGCACGTTCGTCGCCGGTGAGAGCGGCAGATCTCACCACGGTGATCTCCCGCGTGCAACTCCGCGAGATCGTGAGAGCCCTGTTAGTCATGAGACTTCTGGGCATGATGGCTGCAGCCCACTCGGTGGTGCTGCTGGGGTTGTTGCACTCGAGGCGCCTGCAAAATTGGTTCATCTGCCTCCGGGTACACCCGATACGTCAGAAGAGACGTATGTTGAGGGTTCCCCCCTCAGTGGGCGGGGACCTCGCTCACTGGGGGAATCCCTGCATCCCCTCACACGGGATTCCCATCGGACGTCCTGCGTCACACGTATCTGTGTTTACGTATGCGTCACTGTCTGGGGTGGGGGGGCACGTGCTTGTCCCATACGGCAGCAGATCGCTGGCCCTCCCACACGCACGAGCACATAAATGTGTTGGAGCTTATGACAGTGAGGAATGTGTTCATGCACTTTGCTGCCCTTCTCGATGCCGTCATGTCGAAGTTCACACAGACAGCCAGGTGGCGGCAGCCTACATAAATCGCCAAGGGGGAGTTCGATCCCCCCCTCTATTGCGCATAGCCACAGATTTACTGTGTTGGGCACATGTCCACCTGCTGTGCCACCTACATTCCGGGGATCCTGAATGTAGCGGCAGACATCCTGTCGAGAGGGGGTCCCCGCGACTCCGACTGGCGTCTGCATCCCGCGCTGATATCACAGATCTGGATAAGGTTCGGGGAACCGTGTGGATCTGTTCACGGCTCGCGAAAACCCTCAGTGTCGCCTGTGGGTTTCCCTGAGTCTCCGGGACCAAACCTCGCTCGGAGCGGACGCCTTCTCACACCAGCCCGGGCTTCGAACGCTCCTTTATGCGTTTCCACCAGTCCCTCTGATTCCCCGTCTCCTGGACCGAGTTCGGTCAGAACAGCTCTCGGTAATTCTGGTGGCTCCCAGACGCCTGTCCGCGTCATGGCTTCCGGACCAGCAAGCGCTACTGTCCGGCTCCCCGTGGAGACTCCCGCGAAGGGAGGACGCCCCTCCCCGGGCGGATGGGATAATCAGACATCCTCCGGAAATAAGCCATCGGCTGTGGGTCTGGCCGATGAGCGGTTTTGATTAGGGGTTTCTGGGCTGCCGCATGATGTGGTCATCACGATTCAGAGTGCGCGGGCGCCCTCTACCGTTGCATCTTACGCTGCTAAATGGACAGCTTTCCAGAACTGGGGCACAGAGCGGAATGTTCAAGCGCTCTCCTGCCAGCTGGCGGATGTCCTATCGTTTCTGCAGATACGGACGGACAGGGGCCTCGCATTCAGCACTATTAAAACATATGCTGCAGCTATCTCATCATGTCATCAGGGTTTTGGTGATAGATCTGTTTTCGATCATCCCCTCACAAAACGTTTTCTAAAAGGTGTCAGAAGGAACAGACCTGTGTCCCGTCCGCTAATTCCCCAGTGGGATCTAACGGTGGTTCTGCGTGGCTTATCTGGAGCCCCATTTGAGCCCTTGGACCAGGTCTCACTCAAGTTCCTGTCACTTACAACTGCCTTGCTGCTGGCATTGGCATCAGTCACGAGAGTGAGCGACCAAACCGCCCTCTCAGTGGCTCCCGCATGCCTCAGGATCCGGAAAGATGGCGGGTCTGCTGTTTTATGCCCCAACCCAGCCTTTGTGCCCAAAAACATTAATGCTTCCTTCAAATCCAGGTCAATTTCATTGGCTGGACATTTTCCTCCTCCCCATAATTCTGAGGAGAAGGCGGCTTCCCATCTTCTCTGCCCGGTGCACGCGCTCACACGATATGTGTCACGCACTTCAGGGATTCGCCGCTCACAAAGCCTGTTTGTGCACTACAGGGAGTCTTCCCTTGGGCACGCGCTGTTGGCCCAGCGCCTTTGACTCTGGCTATGTGACGCCATTTCACTCGCTTACACATCATTGGGGCTGGATCCTCCTGAGACACTCAGGGCTCACTCAGCCAGAGGGATTTCCTCTTCTGTGGCGCCCCACAGTGGTGTGTCAATGGAAGTCATTTGTCAGGCTGCTTCATGGGCTTCACCCTGTTCCTTTACTCGTTATTATTTACGAGATGTGTCTTCAGGATCCATCACTCGTTCAGTGCTTGGACCTCAGCAGGCTGAGTGAACACATTATGGCACCACATCAGCCCTGCTTGAATGAATTTCATCCTCTTGTGGATGATATTTTTTAGTGGGAACCCCACTCTTCTCTCTGGCTGCCTCAGCCTTTTAAGCCCTGGGCTGAGGCTGAGCGACCCTCGCTAAAAGGAGACATGTTGGGTGTGTTCATTGGTTGAGCTAACCAGTGTGGCGTAAACCCATCCAGCTGCGCATTATTCCAATAGCAGCTAGCTTAAGGGCTAAGACTAGACGAAATAGAACGTTGGTTACGTATTGTAACCCCAGATTCTATGAGTCTAGTCGCAGCCCTTTAGCCACTGGCCCCACTGGTTCTGTTAGGACTAAGAGAGGCGAGCAGTGGAGTCGCTCCACTTATATAACCCACAAGGGGTGCCCACGTGGTGGGCGTACATTTAAGCTCTTCATGATTGGCTGATGCTGAGATCACCCTTCCAATAGCAGCTCGCTTAAGGGATGCGACTAGACTCATAGAATCTGGGGTTACAATACGTAACCAACGATTCACCTCCTGATGCTTAAAGGACTTTAACACGACACGGGTTCAGATGTGCTGACAGTCTTAATGAAACAGCAAACTTTACTTTATAATTCAACTACTTTCATTTCATCAGCATCTCAATAATGCTAAAGAGACAATACAGGGATTTCTTTTGAGATGTTGGTAAATACACCCCAAAATACATGATTGGTGGTAAAAATAACAATCCTGAACAGGTATGGCTTAAAATAAAAGTCATGTAACAGGGCTACTACTTCCTGTTCCTCCAGGGCCACTACCTGCCTGTTTTAGTTGTGTCCCTGCACCAACACTTCAAAGGCCTATCACTCCTCTTTTTGATTCACGAAATGACAAAATCCTTAAAGCATCCGACACCTGCGGCGTCTGAAGCCTGCCCGGCCAAAAGGAGTCTACTACTATAAAAGCATGCCTGTAAGCAGCAGAATAAGTAGGTGTCTGCGTGCACGGTCCTGATGACACGCAGCAGTCGTGCACCCTGTACACCCACACCCCCATACCCAGGAGACAGCAAACCAGCTGTGAGGATGTAGCAGGCATCCGCTGCCTATTTCCAATCAGGACTCTCAGAAATGTTTTGTCAGTAATACAGCAGAAACTTGTCTTCCGACTGGTAACCAGCAGGGACTTGTCTTCCGACTGGTAACCAGCAGGGACTTGTCATCCGACTGGTAACCAGCAGGGACTTGTCATCCGACTGGTAACCAGCAGGGACTTGTCATCCGACTGGTAACCAGCAGGGACTTGTCTTCCGACTGGTAACCAGCAGGGACTTGTCATCCGACTGGTAACCAGCAGGGACTTGTCTTCCGACTGGTAACCAGCAGGGACTTGTCATCCGACTGGTAACCAGCAGGGACTTGTCATCCGACTGGTAACCAGCAGGGACTTGTCATCCGACTGGTAACCAGCAGGGACTTGTCTTCCGACTGGTAACCAGCAGGGACTTGTCTTCCGACTGGTAACCAGCAGGAACTTGTCTTCCGACTGGTAACCAGCAGGGACTTGTCATCCGACTGGTAACCAGCAGGAACTTGTCATCCGACTGGTAACCAGCAGGAACTTGTCATCCGACTGGTAACCAGCAGGGACTTGTCATCCGACTGGTAACCAGCAGGAACTTGTCATCCGACTGGTAACCAGCAGGAACTTGTCATCCGACTGGTAACCAGCAGGAACTTGTCATCCGACTGGTAACCAGGTCCTGTTGTGCCGACAGAACAGCTGCTCCACTGACGGGTCTGAGCGGAGGAGTGTCACCGACCTGTGTCATCATCGTCGATCTCTCCGTTCAGCTCAGAAGCCCTGATGAGTCGAGCCTCCATCACCTCCATCTCCATGGACTCCATCTGTTTCTTCATGCTGTCGAACTTGGCCTGATGGACAAGACAGGACACGTGGTTGATATGGTGACAGGAACATATGCTGCAGGTTAGAGCGTGAACAGAACGACCACGCAGGACTGAGCGGACTGTGGAGATGAGACTGCTTAAGACAGTGGTGTCCAAACTTTTCAAGAAGGAAAACATAGTCAGGGTACCAGTCCTCGTTTTTTCCGTGAACATGAACTGAACTCGTTCGTATTTTGCCTGACGAACATAAAAGTGAGTGCGTGCGTGAACGGGTTTATGAACGCGTTCTTTCGTCGCTCTAGCCCCAGATCTCCATGGAGCTTTTCCGGAGCTAACGCCTAGCTAAAACTTCCTCTTTATGCAGATGACATCCAACTGTACATCTCCTTTAAGCCCCATGAGATGTCTAAGCTGCAGCTGTTACACACCTGCTTAGACTCTATCAAAACCTGGATGGTGGGAGCTTTCTTCAGCTGAATGAAGATAAGACTGAGATCCTCATCTGTGCCCCAGACAAGCTGGTTCCCAAAGTCAGAGACTCTCTTGGTCAGCTTGCTTCTCACACCAAACCTTCTGTCAGGAATCTTGGCGTGACCTTTGACCCAGCTCTCACCCTGGATTCTCATGTCAGTTCTCTTGTTGGCTCTTCCTTCTTCCATCTCAGGAACGTTGCTAAGCCGAGTCCCATTCTGTCCCGCTCTGAACTTGAGACAGTTCTCCACTCCTTCATCTCCTCACGCTTAGACTACTGTAACTCTCTTTTCACGTGTCTGAGCAGAACCTCCCTGAACCGTCTACAGGTGGTTCAGAACGCCTGTGCTCGGCTTCTGACCAAGTCCTCCAAACACACCCACATCACCCCGCTTCTCCTCCAGCTTCACTGGCTGCCAGTCACCTTCAGGGTTCATTTCAAGATCCTGGTTCTGGTCTATAGGGCCTTACATGGACAAGCACCATCTTACATTGGTGATCTTCTTAGTCCCTACACCCCCAGCAGGTCCCTGAGGTCCAGTGACCAAAGCCTACTGGTTGTGCAGCACCAGGCTAAAGGTCAAAGGTGACAGATCATCTGCTGCTGTGGCCCCCAGACTCTGGACCTCTCTCCCCCTGAGCCTGAGATCAGTGGACTCAGTGGTCTCCTTTAAAAAGCAGCTGAAGACTCACTTGTTCAAGCTGGCTTTTGTATGACCTTCTTCACCTCTCTCTCTTTATTCTGCTCTCCCCACCTATTCCACCTTCCTCAGGATCCACTGGTTTC